ATTGGGTGTGTGCTACTACTGTTCAAGTGTGCATTTATTCGTGAGCAGAGGCCAAAGCACACTGGATACCCTGCTTTATCATGCTGAATTTTTTAACTATATTATTAAAAAGTTGGTGTATTAGTCATTGTTCCCTAGAGTAACAGAACCTATAGAATGAATTTATGTTTATAGAAAGGGGGCTATTACAATGACTTACATGCTGTGAAAAGAAGGTCTGAGTATCCAGTAGCTGTTCAGTCCATGAGGCTGGATGTCTCAGCCGGTTTTTAGTATATGCTGGAATCCCGAAGACGTAGACTCCAATGCTAGTGAAGGAAACAGGCAAAGAGAGCTAGCTTCCTTCTGCCACGTCTTTTATTTTATTTTATTCTTTTCTTTTTTAATTTAAATTAGAAACAATCTTATTTTACATATCAATCCCAGTTCCCTCTCCCTCCCATCCTCCCATGCCCCCTACCAACCCCCATCCCATCCTTCTGCTCCCCAGGCAGGGTGAGGACTTCCATGGGGGATCATCCAAGTCTGTCACATCATTTGGGGTAGGGCCTAGTGCCCCCCCACCCCACCGTGTGTCTAGGCCAAGGGAATATCCCTCTATGGGGAACGGGCTCCCCTTCCATGTCTTTTATATAGTTTTCCAGCAAAAGGTGTGGTCCAGAATAAGGGTGGATCTTCCCACCTCGAAAAGTCTAGACTAAAGGTAGTTTTTCCACCTCCAAGGTTTAGATTACAGGTTTATCTTCCCACTTCACATGGCTTGATTAAGCAAAAAATCCCTGGCAGGTGTGCCTGACCACTTTTGGGTTTCAGTTATCTTCAGAAGTAGTCGAGTTGGCAACCAAAATAGCCATCACAGTTGTAAATAAATAAAAACATCCCTATGAATCACCTTGACTTGAGAGAGGGTCTGTCGTTCCTGGAGCTAGTTTTTGGGCCAGCACGATGTAGTGACACCCCCCCCCCCCATCGCACCTGCTGCGCAGCCTGCATCCGAGAATGTAGCGAGGTTGTCGGGATAGATGACACAGAGACCGGTTGGTTGCGTTAAGAAAACTTTATGCTCCCCAAGTCGGCTTAGGAGAACACCCAAGAAAAAATGCTTCCCTTTTTAAAGACTTCTGCCATCCACACACAATTCTCCAACTGAGCTCTCACACACCTCTCACAGCTCTCCCAGACTTCTCACCCTCCTGGCTGGTGGTTAAATCTCTGGCACCAGAATCGGGGAGAAACAGCAGTGAGCAGGAAGAAGCAGCTAGCCGTAGGGGGGGATCAAAGTCATGGCGTTTCAGTGAGCGAGCCCTTATCAGAGCCCTATCAGGAGCTTTATGGCACTGAATTGTTTTCAGTAAACATTATCTCACAGCTGCCTGCTCCCAGGCTGATGGAGGGATGGGTTTCTGAACAAGGTCTGGTGTCCCCACACACCCCCCCATTTCTGTCCCTCACAGTACTTGGATCACAGGCATGAACAACCATTCCCAGATGTTGTGCATGACAGGGATTCAAACTTAGGTCTCCATGCTTGAGCATGCAGCCCACCGACTCAGCCATCTTCTGGCCACGTGGGTTACAATTGTGACCCACGGGAAAGCTGTTCTGATGCTAGCTCTGATGGATCCTGCTGTGTTCTGAGGCCCAGCACATTTGGGATGAAAAGTATTAGAGTCAAATTCTTTAACGTTATACAACTTCTACATAAGTTAAGAAAAAAAATATTTTGCATTATGAGAGTTTTTGTTTTCCCTCTTGCTTTCTGACTCTCCATTTCCCCTTACGTACGTTCCTTTTCAGATCACTTCTGATTCCTCTCCAAGTGCTTTCCTGATGGGGGTGTCCTTCTGTATATGCTTGTCTTATTGGTTGATAAATAAAGCACTGTTGGCCAGTAGGGAAGCAAGATAGGTGGGACATATATATATATATATATATATATATATATGTGTGTGTGTACTTAAGACAGAACTAGCCAATGAGAAGTCCTGGATATTGGCCAATAGCATTGTAACTAATAGAGTCTCTGTGTGTTACTTGGGGTTGATGCGGCTCTGGGACCAGGCTGGTGGGAAGAATGCTCATTATACCTTCCCTTTAATAGAGTTCTGTCCTGCGAAGCAGCAGTGGTCTCTCCCTCTTAGTCCAGTAGAGGGCCTTAACCAAGGAAGGGATTTCCCCAGTTTGAGAGTTGCTCTTTTCCTAGTAACTACCTGGAGCTCAGAAGAACTCCTGATTTTGAACGATCAAATAATAGGCATAGGGGGAGATCAACCAATCATTGATGAGTGGTAGGTGACTTCTCAAGGTAAGTGTGGAGAAGGTACTAACAGTGGGAATCGCACAGGTGCAATCTACCTCTGAGCTAAATCCAATTTCATGCATCAAATATGAGCAGCCTCTGCAAGCCAGTCTAAAACATAAGTAAATAGCCTAAAACATAAAGTATACTTGCCTCAAGTAACCAGTACTTTCTACATTTTGTAAAGTAGAACTAAAGACCTTTTAAATCTACCCTAAGCTGCGTCTTCAAGCCCAGATGAATGCATTATAAATTATCTCCATGTAGATTTGTTTCTCCCCTGGGTTTTGTTGTTGTTGTTGTTTGCTTGCCTTTGTATTCTCTTCCTCTCACAATGAAAATCCATCCACAACACCATACTGCTGAAATTCTATTTCTCTTCCCAAATAAACTCAATAGGGGTTAATCAACCCCACTGCCAAGGGCCTGAGTAGGAGCAGCAGATTAAAACTGGAGAGACCACATGTTAAACTAGGTGCTAGGACTCTGCCCTCACTCAGGTGGAATAATCGGTTCCATGGTCATCTGAAACACCAGAATCCGCCAGAACTGGGATAGCTCCCAGGACCGCCAGACCACAGACCCTTTGTTCGTCCCCATGATACTGCACAGCTTTCCAGGGCATTTCCAGGCATTCTAATCCCAAGCCAAGAGCTGCTGGGTCCATAGCTCTGTTCTCAGATCCCAGGCAAAGCACAAGTGTGAAACCCAACTTTCAAAGATAGTTCCCTCGGCCAGGGTAAACAAAGAACTCTTCCTAGGCAGCTCTGGGTCATGGAGATAGCAAAGGGTGGAGCTTCTAGTGAGCTCATCTGGGGAGAGACCAAGTCTGGGAGGATAAGAGCAGTGTCAGGTGTGTAGTGTTGCAGTGTGTTTATTCTAGAACGATCTGTGGTTGATTGTAACTAAAGCAAGCCAACCAGCGGCATCCATCTTGGGGTCTCTAGTCTGGCGTTAGGTAACGAGCCTGCAAGGGCACAGGGCCTGGAAAAATAAGGCAAACAGATCCTCATGATGAGGAGTGAGGAGAGAAAACACAGAGGAGGGTTCTGGTGTCAGGAAACATGGAGGAGGTGGATTGGTGGCGGTGGTGGCGGCGGTGGCAGCGCTCCATCCAGAAGCCAAGGCAAGCAGGCACAGAGCAAGCACTTTCCCCCGGGACCCCCTCACATCAGGGTCGCCACATTTAGGGTGGGTCTTCTGACTTCCAATTAAGGAATCAAAGAAATCTCCCACAGGCGTGCCCAGAGGCTAGGTTAATCTACACAATCCCTCACAGGGTTTCCTAGAAGTGTGCCTTGTGGATGATTCTAGATCCTGCCAAGTTGGCAAACTATGAACCATCACAAGAGGCCTATCCGACTTCAAACTAAGGTGTTGTGTAACAAACTGGAGCCTGTTGTGACCGTTAAAGCCAGGGGACAGAACACCCCGCGTCGATAAAATCAGAGTAGGTCTGGCTGGGAGCAACTCCAGCCACAAACAGAGACTTGGGAAAGAGGGACAACGAAAGCATTTCACTAGGGTTGTTCAACACTCAGCAAGTCACTGAGGAAAAGAGTGTGACTCGGAGCCAGCTCTGGGACTCACTGTACCAGTCAGTGTGACTTGGAACCAGCATTAGGAATCACTGTACCAGCCAGTGTGACTCAGAGCCAGCATTGGGAGTCACCACCAGTTAGGGTTCTCCAATGGAACAGGATGGACAAGAGAAATCTGTGTAGTGAAAAGGGGTTTACTAGATGAAATACAGGAAATGCTTCCTGTAGGCCAATGATGGCCACCTCATACTGGAGGCTGTGAATCTAGGAGTCATTTGGCTCATGAAGCTGATGTCTTGGCAGTCCCAATCTGGCACTGGAGGCCCGGAGGACTCTTGGACTGACGTCTTCAGCCTACGTGAGATTCCTGAAGTAGTGGGTGCTAACACAGGCGAGGGACAGATGAACTTCCAGTGAGGGAAAAGCAGTTTCCATCTCCCATGTCCATTTCTCTGGACTGTCACCCACACCTTAGGGAGAGCCCTCCTGCTTTAAAACCCCCTCACAGGAGTGCCCAGCAGTTTGTGTTTTAGTTGATTCCGAGGCAGTCAAACTGGCACACCTGGAACCAGGTGCGAGATCATCACACTACTTGACAAGAAAAGAAAAATGTGAAAGGAATATGAGGAGCTAACTTACATACTGACTTGGTCAATCAGGTATATTAAGTGCAATTCAGTGGAGTACTATGCAGCAATGAAAAGGAATTAGGTATACTTTTGTGGCCTGCAAATAGTCTCACAACTTACTGAAAAAAAAAAAAAGCACAGTAAGCTTTAGCATTGGTACCCTAAATGGTGGCTTTATGGCCCCCTTACCATGGATACCATAAACAAACATTACCTTTAGTAGGAAAATTATGAACCTTTAACTACAGTTGTACTTTGGAATATGCCTCTATAAACACAAAGAAGCACAGGCTTAAATCATTACAGTTCCTTTGGTAGCGTGGATCCTGGTGGCTCCCGAAGGAACACTGGGAAGCTGGTCTGTAAGTACACACAGGGAGTCGGCTCAAGTCTGTGGTGCCTGGGAGCTCACAGCGGCAGTCCTGGGTCCCTGCCTCATGCAAAGACGCAGGGTATAATGACACTATAAAACCAGAGTAAAAGAGCTAGGACGGATCGCTTCAAGATAAAAGAACATAGATTATTTTGGTATTACATTAAATATTTAATAATTTTATTTAAATTATAACTACCACAAATAACTTATACCCACTACCCTGGGTCCCCACACTCCCTCCATTTCAGTGCTGCCGTGGAAGTACGTTTCCAAACACAGGTACGACACACACATGACGATGACGTCAACCTAATTACACAAGCCGCCTCCAAGAGTCAAAGCGCCTGGTCTCTCTCATGAAGTCACAGCTTGCTCACTGTAAGGACAGCGCCTGGGTTGGGGGAATCATGGAGAGAATACAAGCTCTGGGAGCTCTGTTAATGCTGGAGTGCAAACATTTTTCTATCTTAGATTTAACTACTTCAGACAAGTTAAATCTAAGATAACTTAAAACTGCAAGGGCTCTTCTTAAGTAAAACCAATTAACATCTAAAGTGTCCAGTGTTTAGATGATTCTTTTTTTACTTCTCCCACATTATCAAAAAAATCTACTTATTAATTCATTTGACTGTAAACCTTACAAAACTGTTTATTAAAATACTGCATGCTTACAGGAGGCATTTGAGCCCACAAATAAAAAGACTTATTTTGATAAGTCTAACCATAACAATTCTGAGGGTTTTTTTTAAGTAATCCCTTCATTAGCTAAAAACAATTAAAATTTTAACTTTGGAAAATTCTGATTGTAAAAACTTCTGAACACACTTCGCTAACATCCGGATCAAAACTCTAGTTTCCACATGGGTACCACGCAAGCACCCCTAGGAACTGTCATTGCATGCCACGGCTATCAGTCATGTTAGGGAACATTTTGATTTAGTTTTGGCCCATTCCTTTTCTTTTCTACCTGAGGAGTATTGTCTTTAGGCAACAATGCTTTCCCTACATTCATTGCTAGCTCTAAAGCAAATATGGGTTTTCCTCCTGCAGTTCACCCTTGTCTACTGAATCGGTCACCCAACGTTCTTGAAGGATCTTAAACTTTTTCTTAAGAGTCCTTCTGAAAGCTTTGAAGTCCGAAACTCGGCTCTGATCTTCCCCGACGACTACATGAGATACCCCCTCAGATAAGCGGGACACCACCCTGGCTCCATGAAACCGCAGCTCAAGCGCTGTCACATCTAATCTCGTTGCTTTGATTTTGGAACTCGAGTCATTAACAACGGCATACACGTCCAGATAAACGGCGCAGCGTCGAAACATACAGAGAGGAGAGCGGTCCCAGGAATAACGGTATTCTAGGTCAGCGATCACAGGGGTCATCTCTTCCGGAGTCTGGCGCTCACCGGGTTTCTTAATTCCTAAAAACACTTCTTTCAGCTGATCCAAATCTGTATCAACAAAGTAGCTATCACCATAGCAATCATATTCACGGGCGAAATGCTGCTTTGTTGACGGGCACATGTGAATCATAAAGCGGGGTTGCCACGGCACACACGTTTTTGTTTTAAAACACTCTAGAAGCCACTCGGGCTTGACAACATCGTATCGATCTGAAGAGATAATGTTTCTCACCCTTATGTTCTCACACCCTGCAATCACACAGTACGTGTCTGGGCCTGGATTCTGCACTATATAACCACCAAATTCTGCAATTCTGTTCTCTAGGTCAGACTTGGGATAACCATCCAACCCACTCATAACACAAAACTCCACATCTTCAAATACATTGGAAACTTTGCTGATGTTAGAAAGGTTAGGCGCTTTGAAGTGTTCAATAATTCCAATGGCTTTCTTCATTTTGGAGACGGGCTTCCGCCTCTTTTCTCTAGGCTCATCGTCGTCACCTACGTGAAGGTGTTTTGTGGCAAGTTTCCCAGATGCTCTCCCCCTCAGCTCTTCCAGGTCGCCCAGAGTCATGCATTCATGCCACTCTTTGTCCTCTCTGATCTTCTCGATACGTGGGAAGCGCAAGGTGGTGCCGGTCTTGTACATGTCACTGGGGACAATCTCTGCTGCCTTAATCTGGACAATAACAGAGTTACAGGGCTCAATGTAGACTTCCGGCTTCTCTGTTCCACATAAAATGCTACTCGGTGGGGATTTCTTATGAAAGGGCTTCCAGTACTTGGCCAATTTCAAGCCGAGATCATAGAGTTCTTTCATGGTGTATCCCGACCCAACGCGGCACAGAGTATGGAACACAGATGGCCGCTCACCATGAGGGGGCTTCCCGGCCACCGCACACAAAAAGTGAGACATCATGCCACCTCGTGACCCTTTCCCCCAGTAGCCCCCCACAATTAAGAGGTCTAATTCATCCATCAATCCATTGACATACTCTGGTTTAATTTTTAGCCACCCTTCACCTCTCTTGTCTGGCTTGTAGATGGACAGAGGGTGTTTAATCATGATACCTTCCTCTCTCTTATCTATGGCTTCGTTTAATGCATCTACGACTTCGCTCTTCGTGTGAGCTAGCTTCTTCTGCACAATTTCTATTCGGCCTTGGGTGGGTGTAAAAGTGCCATTAAGGATATCATACCTCTTCCTCAGGGTCTCACGCCCTAGCTTCCTATCATTGACCATCAACACATCAAAAACACAGTAACACGTCTGTAGGTCGGAATCTTCCACCATCCTTTTGATGTCAAATTTGACGCCCTTTTGCATGAACGTCTGTGTGGTCGGGTTGTAGGCCATCATCTCACCATCGAGGATGCACGCCTGCACGTCCGTCCGGAACGCGTTGTGGATGAACGGGGTGAGAGAGCCCTCCTGTGGGGATGCGCCAAACTGGGCGGTGTAGTCATAGCCGTTTCTGGAGAAGTACTGGTACGCCGTCCCGTTTTTGTGCATCTGCATGCGTTCCCCGTCCAGCTTGGTTTCGATGTAGAAACTCTGCTGCTTCATGTCCTTCTCCACGCGCTCCACATCTGCTACGGCGGCGAGCATCGGCTTAAAGGCAGCAAACAGAGTGATGGAGATATCACTGAGCCCCACAGAGGGGTCGTGTAGCTGCCTGCAGACCTTTTCCAGGTCTGTGGTGACGTTGTGCAACTCAATTGCATCGTTGTGAAAAACGTTAAGTATGGTTTGTTGGCTGACACCAAGCTTCAGGTCCTTAATAATCATACGGATCAGCCACTTTTGCTCAAGGGCTGAACTCTGGGTTATTAACTGAAGAAGGCTCTTTTTCACTAGGTCTTTCCTTTTGCCAGAATTATTGCTGGCGACTAAGTCTAAGAGTTCATTTACCTGCTGTACAGTTAAGCTGCCTTTCTGCAAGCACCTTGGCTTCAACACGAAGTATGCTATCATTGCGAAGTCCCCAGCATCTGTGCGAGCTCCGCTGGGCGTTCGATAATTCAGGAGCTTCAGGGCATCCTTGCCTTCTCTTGGTAAATTCAGCAATTCGATGTAAAGCTTGGCGAGCATGGTTTCTTTGATCCCATAAGCCATCCTCTCTCTTTCCAGCTGAGGAAGAATAAGTCTCATCGCTGGGTAAAAAGAGTCCGAGACATCTTTCTTGTTCTTATGGAGGGCATCATGAAATTTTCTCCAAGAATCTAAGAATTCCTTGAAGTGCCTGATCTTTTCTGCACGGTCTTTACTTTTCTGTATTCGTTCTAACGTGGAACATAAATCCGCAAAGGGAACGTGAGCGGCAACGGTTTGTGAAGTTTGTGACGTGGCCATAGAAGCAACAGCAAACCCTCTGAACTGATAAAACAAACGGAGAGCAACTTTAAGCAGCAGCTGCAATCTATAAATATTTAAAACAATGGTCCATTTAGACCACAGTAACTATTATAGTTCACTCAAGGAAAACAGGTCAATGCAATAAACGGATCCATGTGTAGCCGCTTTTTCTTCCGCCCTAACCAACATTTCCAATCACAGTTTCATTTCCTATAACTATCAATTTATCTTTTTTAAAATTTATTCTTTATGTGCATTGACATTTTTGTATGTATGCACATTTGAGCAAGGGTGCCGGATCACAGACAGTTTCGAGCTGCCATGTGGGTGCTGAGAATTGAACCCAGGTCCTGTGGAAGAGCAGCCAGTGCTCTTCACTGGTGAGCTTACCAATTTATTTTAAATGCTAGCAATCACTGGTATTCTATGTCCTAATTATTTAGCACAGAACGCAAAATACTATCATTTCTAATAATGAAAATCAAGTCAGCTGAAATCAATTTTATTTCTCAGTCTCCGAGGCAGGTCTGTTTGATTCTTCTTTCTTGGATAATTATACAGCACTCAAAGCAAGCTACTTGCCATGGTGTTTTTAACAAATCACTTGCTTAGTGAACTGGAACCTGACTCCTTAGACATTCTGACATCCAAATCATAGCCGACAAAAACAAACAATAGTGATCCTTGTCTTCCAGCCCAACAGAACTCACGTCTGTATTTATCTTCATTCCTTCACTGACAGCTAAGACAAAACTTCTGCCATTCAAAACCCAACTGGAAGTTCTCCCCCCATAACAGCCTCACATTTACCATTTTTATCACAGATACCCAAATATCAATTCATTGTTAAATTTCTTTATGCTTTCTACTTACCGAATGTTCAGTGCCAACATAGAAGCCAGGGAGTATGCTATGGCCAATAGAGTGTGCTTCTGCTTTAAGACAGCATACGCTCTATAAAGAACAAAGGGTTACATGTGAGCAAGATATAATAGCATGCTGAGTGCTTTACCAAAAAAGAATACTAAAATCCTAACCCTAACAACCACCGCCCTTTCATCAAAGACATCTAAAATCAAGGAAGTAACTGAGTAGTGTCTAGAATGTTCCTAACATGGTTATATGTGTATGAAACCTGCCTGACATTTAAATATTCCTGTAGGTTCTATGGGGATCTTTGTCAGTTACTTTAACGTGGCTTATATTACGCAACAGTCAAGCAAGTTTTCTAAAAGTGATTTCAAGCAAGATGCATGTTCCGGAGATCACAATCGTGCTTCATCCAGTGACTTTTGACAACAGCATCTGGTCAGGCAGCAGGGATTATGAAAATCCCTACCTTCCACTTACATACCCCACAATGACAAGTCTCACATTAAGTGGTAATCTGTGCCATCAGTGACAAGTATAATGCAGATTTGCTTGTAGAACTAATTACTAGACGTTTACAAGTGATTTGTGGGAAAGCATGGAGGTGGGGACCTGGTTGGTTAAACACTGACAGCAGCAAAACTGGCTGCCAGTTTGGATCTGCCTGCACTGGCAATGATTCAGAGCAAGTATTCATAGCTCATGGACGGAAAGACAGACTTGGCTTCTCAGTCTTATTTTTGACAGAGGGAACCCAACTAACCCAGTGAGTGAGATCAAGATAAGCCCACCTGGGGCTGTATCTCCTGACATTTCTGTGATTTTCGTTAACTGCATCCCCTGCTGGAGTTGGTTTGCATAACGAACTGCACCACCTGCTTCCTTCAAGTGGGTACTCGATGGTGCATAATGCTAGTCATAACTTCTGTACAGTGCGTGCAGAATGCAGTATATTAGGAAATAGGCTCTGAATCTCTGAGTATAGGTGCACTTTCTATGTCCATCTATACAATGCAGATGGTCTCAAACTTGTCTTCAACAAACCAGAGCGTCGACCCAGGTGAGTTTATAATAACAGTGTATTTTAGGCAACGGTGTGAATACACATACGTCTTAAAATAACTATAAACACAGATAACAAAGGTTGCAAAGTGCTATAAAAGAAAACATACAAATTTTGTTTAGTGCTACTGCAAGGAAAGTTAAATACCGGAATTTCTGCTTTTACCCACCATCCAATTTTATATTACTTTGTTTGCATCCTGAGGGTTAGGATCACGCTTTCCACTTGCAATAAAACAAATTATGATCGTAGGCTTCAGGCGCCGAAGAAACTTTCGAAGGTGCTCAACGTGGTGCCCTGACACCTGTTGCTGTAATGCTTGCCCACTAAGCAACCTGTAAAACCCAATACTTCCGAATACGAGGTAGGTAGGGGGCGAGGGTCGGGGGGTGCAGAGAATCATCACTCTCAGAATGAATGCAAGTAATTAGAACGGGGTGTCATCACCCGGGGGCTGCCAAGAGCCACCTGGAAACAAGTCAGCAGCGGTCCAGCTGCACCGCGGAAGGCGTCACCCCACGACAAGCTCCGGGGTGACGACCCTAGGACCTGCAGGGCGGGAAGGACCTCGAATCGACACCCTCTTTCTCCCACCCAAGCATACCTCCGATTTTGCACCGTCCCCTCCAAACACTCAGCCTCACGCCCACCGGAAGCGGCCTCCACCATTAAGCCGGTCCGGCGTTTCCGCCAGGTGTTTGCCGCGCAGCCGCAGTGGGGACACGAGAACCCGGCGCGGAGCAGGGAAGCGGGCGAGTGGGCTGCGCAGGCGCAGTGATGAGCAGGTGGGCAAGCGCGGAGGCTCAGGGCGCCTGCGCAGCAGGGCCTCCCGGGCCCCCGGGCTGTAGCTGAGGACGTTCCTTTCCGCGCCGCTGGGTGTCGTCGTTGAGCCGAATTTGGAGCACTGGGCTGCTGCTGCCCGGGCATGCTCGGCTGTAAACCTTCCAGGAGACAAGTGCATCCTCCCTCCTAAAGTGTCTAGGGCTGCAGGAAAAAGGCTTTTGGAAAAAAAAAAAAAAACAAAACAACAACCTCAGGTTCTGTGTTCGTAGCGTTTTCACTGTGCAGAAAAACAAGACGTGATTTCACAGCCATGCATGATTCCTGGCGCAGCAGCATAGGTGCGTGGACTGCAGGCCTCCCAAATGTGCTGGGTGGCTGGGGATAAAGTTAGCCAGCAGTTTTTGTTGAACTCCTACTGTCTGTCACTCGATAACACATAGTAGATACTCAAGATGGATGGGAATAGAGACGCAATGCCCTGCATCCCATGAACGCTGCCTTCCACTGGCAATGCGGCCAGGACCCGCCCTGCCCCACCAGCTAGGGTGCAGCAGTTAAGGGGGGGGAAAGTGAGCGCGCCTGGGATCACTTCCTTTGGAAGTGACTCTTGGCTGAGCTGGTGAACACCGAGGCGTCCAGGGCTCCCCGGGCCCGTTTAACGTGCAGAGCCCGTAATTCACAGCACCAGCGGCCCTGGGGCGGCTTGTGGCCCGGGGCTTTCTGCTTAGCTCGCCCGGGTCTCCCGCGTGTCGCCTGTGATGTTGCGAAGCCACCGGTGACTGCTGTCGTCGTCGTCGTCGGGGGCCCCAAGCTGGCGTCCCGGTGCAGTCGCTGCTCCTGAGCCCCGACGTCAGGCACGGGCGGAAACTTTGCGTGAGTGATGTGGGAACCGCGACTTAGGAAACGAGAAAAACTGGAAATCGACTCAAAGCCCTGACGTGACGGTAGTGTGCAGTCTTAGCGACGTGGTTCACGGGGAAAAACCAAATTTGTTTTGTGTTGTTCCCCGAGGAAGGAAGGAAGGAAGGAAGGAAGGAAGGAAGGAAGGAAGGAAGGAAGGAAGGAAGGAAGGAAGGAAGGAAGGAAGGAAAGGAAGGAAGAAAAAGAAGGACACGATTGCCCCTGGGTGTAGTGGAAGAGAAAGTCTATTGTGGATAAAAGGGAGAGCATAAACAGAGGCAGAGACATCTGGCAGAATCCGGAGTGAACACGACCCTGAGCTGAGCCTCAGGACTGTGAGAGTAAAATGTGTGTCTGCCTTGGCAGGTCCACTACAGTGAAGTTAACAAACAAACAAACAAAAAACCAACAGGGCTGCTCTCTGCCTCGCGAACGCCACCCCTCCTTGCCACCTCCCCGCAGCGTGTGCCGAGAGCAGCGCACCGGAAACGCGGAGCCGTTTCTGACTCCTACCGGCCCTCGTAGCGGGAGGGCGGAGCCTAGCGCTCTGCGCAGGCCTAGAGGGTCATCCTGGCTTCCTACTCCGAGGAGGAAGCCGGAGAACGGGTTATGTGGGGGCCGGCGGGGGCCTTTGCCAGCGACGCCGCGCGCGGGCCGGAAGTGCAGGCTGCGCCAGCAGCGCCGCAGGAGCTCCGGGCTCGACGGTGGCGACGGCGGCCCCTCGGCGGGAGGAGGACGATGAGGAGCGGCGGGGGCGGCGCGGGGCCTCGCTGCTGCGCGGAGCCGGGTTCCGAGCCCGCGGCCGACTGCGCAGCCCGCCCGCGAGCCTGAGTGAGTGCGGCGGGGACCCCGGCGGCTGGGATCCGGGAGCCGCCGTCGGCCTCGGTCCCCTCCCTTCCATTTCCCCGCCCGCCTGCCCGCTCCCCCGGAGCAGTTGGTCAGCAGACCCCGGGCTCGGGTCGGTAACAGGTGCAGCTCTGCGAACGGCGCGGCTGCAGGCAGGCGATCGGGGCCTTAAAAGCCGAGAGTTTCCGCACACCTGAAGTCACTTGGCCGGGGCTAGACTTTTGCCACCATTGGTGCGAAGCGAGGATGCTTCAGGGAGTGTACTCGAGCTGAGCTGTCAAACGACAGTAAACCCCGGGCAGCTCTTTTTGCTCTCACAACCCCCCCCCCCCGCGCTTGCTTACTAAGGCAGCAGTAACAGAGTAGCCCACTGGCTTTAAGTTTGACGTTTGGGTTTGTTTGTTTGTTGTTTGTAGATCCAGCCCGTCTTCTGTCATGAATTAGTACTCAGGTGTGTGCGCGCTTAGACGTGTTCTTTTCTGAAGCACTGTTTGGTCTCTCTGAGAACCGACGGTGGTCGATGTAGAGTTGTGTCGTTAACTGTACTGCCTGAGACCTCACCACCCGGTTGAGCCCCGATTGAGTTGGACTTGCTCTTGTCTACGCCTTGGGCCTTGCTTGCAGTATGTGGAAAGTGTAAAGCCCAGTAACGTAAGGTCACACTGCCTGCAAGGAACTCCCAGCGTGTGTACGCAGGCTCGCCACCACACAGGTGAATACCGCCCCATAAGTTGGCACATTCTGCAGAATGGAACTGTTGGTGGCAGTAGGAAGAGAGGCCCAAGGGAAACTTTCTGGAGGATCTATAGACGGAGCTGGGTGGGTTCCAACCGGAAAATGAAGCCTTACCCTAATAACTTTACTACATGCAAGTATAGTAACCACTGGTGAGTCGTTGCTGTGGTTTAGCTGGGACTCGCCATGCTTACTGAGACCCTAGGTAATAAAATGCTTGAACTTTGTCCCTGAAGCGGCAGCGTTTTATCACCACATCTTAGCCATATTTCAACTAAATGCTTGACCCTGCCTTTGTGTATTAGGAAATAGTCAAAAACAACAACAAAAACCAAGCTAGTTGAAGGCAAGCTGCTTCTACACTTGCAGCTACAGGTAGAGCTTGGCTGGCTGCCTTCCCCAGAACACTGCAGGCAGCTTGTCTCCTGAATGAGAGAGTTGCTGGTCAGACTCTCCCGAACCAACTGAGGGACATGGTACAGAAACTCAGGCACTGGGCTGTCAGTCTCTCCTTACCGCATCCTGCAGTTGTGGTATCTTTCTAATGACTGCTGGTCTGTCTCAGGGAAACCTGAGGCCCTTAAACACCCATTTTAGAATAGATCTAGGACAAGCCCCAGTTGTTGTAATTAAGATGTTTGGTGAGTGGCAAGCTTCCTAATACCTTATTACATTTTATGCCACCGAGTCTCACAAGTCTTAGATCCCAAAGCAATGAGTTCTTCTAAGTTTGTTTGCCAGGGGTGCTGGTTTTCCACAGCAAAAATAGCCTCCATCTAGAGTGACCCCTGGAACCCAGATACTTCTGTGAAGTCTGCTTCATGTAAGAAAATAAGTTTCAACTCAGTATCTAAAATTTGGCCTGTTTACAGTCTGCCACCAGTATTTAGGTTTCTTTCAGTTTACCGTTTTCTTACGTGCTGATAAATTGTCTGAACAAATTGTTATTGGCTTCCATGGTGACAATAATCTACCATCCAAGTTTTTTGCTAAGATGACTGCATTTACTCATCCTTTAGGGCTTCAAGGGGGGAAGCAGGGAGGTGACACTCAGTTCCGACTTGGTGTGATTTGCAAGTGTTCTAATGCTCTCTGGACCCCGTAGCCCCTCCAGAGGCCGTGTAGGCAGATCTGCTCATCTGTCCCCGAGGACTATTAAAATACGCTTGCTCATTATTGATGGCATGTGGGTAACCATCAGGGAAACGGATAGCCAGTTCTGTGGTGTCTTCAGCACTCGAGGGCAGATATTTGTGTTTTCATTGCAGCTGTGCAGCTGGCAAAGAGCCAGAATGCGCCAGTGCTTAGCAGCAGAAGAGAGAAGTCGGTGGGAGAATGGAGTTCTATGCTCCTTGAGATGTGATTGAAATCTGTGAGTTCCTCCAGAGTCATTAATGAGCGTCTCTCAAGTTGTCCCTTTGTGACGTGGTTATCACCAGGGACCTGTCCTGTGCTCACCAATCTGACAGTTTTCAGCCAGCTAGACATTGAACTTGACAGAGGTAGTTTCCAAAGATACACTTGCTGTTAACAAGTATAAACTATACTTTTTTCTACTTTATTAAAAATTATTTGAATAAGCAGGAAGTAATTTTATCTGTGGGGTAGTTTTGACCTTTATTAAAATATAAGTTTGTCTATGATAAAGAAATTGATCTGACCAGTTTAGTGTCTAGTTTATTACCACGCTGACAATTAAAATACTTTATAGCTGAGTTTCAGTTATTCATATATTTGTTACTCTTCCAGGTGAAATGTTACAGGATAAGAAGCTCATATCATATATTGCACAAAGGATTTAAATAGAATGCTGTTCTTAATTTGCAGGACTCAAGATTATGGTGGAAGGCAGTGGAGATGCTTATATTAAAGAGTGGTAAAGCTCTCTGGTTTCAGGTCTCTGTCTCTCTGGTGGTGTGTGTGTGTGTATGTATGTGTGTACTCGCGCACGTGCATATACAGCTGAAAGCTGGTGCCCTCATAGTTCAGAATAGGGCATTGGATCTATCTCCTAGAGCTGTGGAGAGCTGTCCAGCTGAACTCAGGTCCTCTGCAAGCAAGAATAGTGCTTGCTCAACTGGGCATTGGTGGCGCACACCTTTGATCCCAGGGAGGCAGAGGCAGGTCGATCTTTGTGAGTTCGAGGGCAGTCTGGTCTACAGAGCGAGTTCCAGGACAGGCTCTAAAGCACACAGAGAAACCCTGTCTCCTGTCTCGAAAAGCCAAAAAAAAAAAAAAAAAAAAAAAAGGTGTTTTCTCTTAACCACTGAGCCATCCTCCAGCCTTCAGGACAGCTTTATATTTTGAGTAATCATTGAAAACTCAAAGCAGTTTGGATTGTATAGATATTTTATTGTTAAAAATACTTTATAGCTGAGTTTCAGTTATTCATATATTTGTTACTCTTCCAGGTGAAGTTAAAAGTGGGAGTTTGTGAATTAGTAATAAATCCGTGACCAAATGACAAGCAGCATTTCTTGCACACCTCCTGTAAATTATAGAAATAGGGCTATGACATTGTTTAAGGTTTTCACATCACTTTGCTGTCTGCTTGGCGAGGTGTCTGCATCCGAGCTCTCCTAGGTAAAGCATGCACCGTAGACCCACGCACCGCTCTGGATGGAGGTGGAAGAGCACAGTGCTCTCTGCTGCTGCAGCACACTGAGGAGGTCACTGCTTAGAGGCCACTTAGATTGTGGTGTTAGAACCTGTGTCAAAGAAGTCTTGATGCTCATGCAGTGGAACCCGCTCGTATGTGTCATGTTACACTCCTGTCAACTTAAAACTCCTGGTGTAATTTTTGGTCATTTAGAGTATGTTCACTGAATTCAGCATTTTCTTGCAAATGGTAACACATCCAATCAATCAGTTGCCAGAAATCACACTTTCTGCTATCACCACCACCGCAGAGTAGTCAGTCTTCAATATTAGACATTTGAGCTTCATTCATATAAAAATAAAACAGTCTTGTAAACACATACATCTGCTAAATGTAATGACTGTGCTTCCAGTTGCTTATTAAAGTGAAAATGTGCCCCTGTGGAAAGAGCCAGTGTAACCTGCACTCCACATGTGTGTTCAGGCGTAATAGCACAGGAGCTTCACGAACTCCCTGATAGCACGCGTGCATGGAAGCTTTAAAGGTGTCAGCAGATAGCTGGCTGTTTTTACTGCTTCTTCCACACTGTCGCATGGATCTGGCTTTCCCTTCTTCACCGAGCTTATGGCTGGGGTGGGCGGAGGGTCTTGCTTGTTAGCTCAGCACATAAACCCTTGCTTGGGCACGAGTGTAGACTTCAGACACTGAAAAGGTAGATAGCCCCACGGTGTTGTAATGCTGATCCTGTGGCCCCTTCCCTGGGTCCTGAGCAGCCCCAGAAGTCTGTGCCATCGTTCAAGAACCTGAGGCATAAAACCACCCATTTCAGCTGGGGCCTCAGGGTTCACAGAACCTAACTGCTCTAATGTCCTCTCTGCTGTCCTTGCCAACTGTGTATTTAGAGTTTGAATCCTTTGTGTTTCTATGAATAATTATGCTAAGTGATTAAAAATAAGTGGCACAGACAGCTGCTTAATGGAATGGAAGGAATCCTAGCTCTGAAATTATGCTTTGTCCTGCTTTTAAAAGATTCGCTCAAGTTTTACCTTGATGTCTCTGGTGGTGGCAGGCAGTCAAAGTTGACGTTTGCTTTGCTGTGACACAGATGACTGTGATCTTTGATTTCCGCAGTCTCTGTAGCTGCATGAACTTGTCTGAGGCAGGTGCAGTCATGAGAATACATCTGCCATGCAAACAGCACAAACGTTACTCAGCAGGTCATGGGCCATACAACTGCAAAAAGTGGCTGTTGATTGTGTTCAAAAATACAAGATTTAAGCAGCAAGGTTCAGAGTGGTGTCCTTATCTGTGACATTGTCCTCTATCTTTAAGTGGTATAGCATGGTAAGATATGTTAGAACCTAACAATTTGTTTAGAGTCAGCATGGTAAGATATGTTAGAACCTAACCATTTGTTTTAGAGTCAGGGCTAGTAAGCCAGCTGTGGTAAATCTCCAGTGGTTCATATGGGTGTGACAGCACCCCAGGGGCCAACAGCAATATCCTAAGGGGTAGGTGTAACTGATTCTGAACTCTGTTTTTTTAAAGCACCAGTTTATAGGATAGCTAAATATATTGTTTCTTATGCGTGTGTGTGTGTGTGTGTGTGAGAGAGAGAGAGAGAGAGAGAGAGAGAGAGAGAGAGAGAGAGAGAGAGAGAGAGAGAGAGCCTGTGCGAGCTACATTTACTTTGTATGTGGGAATCTGTGGAGGCTAGAAGAGGGCATGGGATCCCCTAGGATAGTTTCATGTGGTTGGGAGCTGCCTGCTGGGTGCTGGAAATTGAATGAGCAGAAGGGACACTTAACTACCGAGCCATGTCTCCAGCCTCCAGGTTGTTTTCTTAGCAATGAAACCATTTGTATCTTTAACATACAAGAGAGCTCAGGGATGAGGAGGTCACATGAGTATGGCCAGCCAGCATGCTTAGTGTGTTAAGTAGTTTTTCACTTCAGCCTCATCTCTCTCTCTCTCTCTCTCTCTCTCTCTCTCTCTCTCTCTCTCTCTCTCTCTCTCTCTCTGTCTCTCTCTCTCTCTCTCTCTCTCTCTCTCTGTCTCTCTCTCTCTCTCTCTCTCTATCTATCTATCTATCTATCTATCTATCTATCTCTCATCTCCAGGCTTTCGCCCAATACATTAGACTTGCTTGTGGCACAGGGAAGCTGTGTGGCAGTGGCTGAAGCCCAGATGGCAGGGTAGGCTATAGTACCTTCCTGCCTGGCAGTCATCAGAGAGCAGATTGCTTCTTGGGCCAGAAGTAGAGCTTGGCTATAACTCTCAGGACCCATGCCTCATAGACCTAGGTCTGCCAGGCAAGCCCCAGGCCTCAGAAAGTTCCACAGTGTCCTGAAACAGTGCCACAAGCTGGGGAGTAAGCACTGAAACCTATGAGGCCATGGGAACCCTGCACATTTAAATCCTAGCTGAGTGTACTTGCCATGGACTTAAAGGCCGGCAGCAGCATCAGAGCACTGGGGTATTGAAGAGACGTAATTCGGATGTAGGAAGTCACCAAGTGACTACTGTGATTGCTTATAATCATCTTGATTGGAATTCTGATACTTCACATTCGTGTCTCGGGAACAGTCCTCTTACAAGAAGCAAGGTTCTTGTAGCACCGTTTCCTGTGTTCCGTTTCCTGAGAAGTGCTTACTAACAGCAGTGTGATAGAAACCCCAGAGCATGCTGCTCAGAAAGCTGTTCCCTGCCATCCGTGTCTTCTCATTCATCTGTAAGTCACAAATATTGTCACAGGGCATATACCCTTTGATTCTGTCATCTGTGGTTGGTGGCATTGATGCTGTAATGCATAAGTTCTAGCATGCCAGGCTTTTTTGACTGTAGTTAACATGATACACTAAGTGAGGGGGACATGTGTTTAGCCGGGGTAAGTTTGAACTGCCAATGAGGCATCAGGTATTGGAGAACAGAGAGATGGGAAATGTAGGTAAGAATAGACATGCTAATGGGACTAATTCATACTAGAGTGTGCTGTGAGTCTTGACAATTAAACCCCCAGGGGTGGGGGAGTGCTTGCTTCCATTCTTGTTATACAGAACCTGAGAAAATTGGTGTTAAAATGCAGAGACCTCTTGTGGCTCTCGCTTATAGAGTTCACTGTGCTCCTTGCTTTGTGTGTGTTCAGGGAGAGTGCAGTGGCAGGTATGAGTGAGACAGAAAACTGCCCTGCACATTGTCCTGACTTTCTTCTAGCAGACCCCATTTCCTGAAGCTCAGTGTCTTCCAAGGGATATTGGGGATGGCCACATCCAGACTGTCCCAGCAGTGAGCAGACATTAGACATCCTGCAGAATGGTCCACTGCAGAGGACAGGGTCTGAGTATAATGGATGTGGGAGTTGTTGACAATGGTTGCTGCTTCCGTCAGCTGGATATGGTGGCCAGTGAGGTTTTTCTCATGTCCTTAGGAGTTTCCTGGCAGTGGGTAAGTCCCCGTAGTGATGGTTTTCAGACATTTGTGTGTTGTCATCAGGTCATGTCTGATAACATGGCAAGGATAGAATTGAGAAACATGAAACCAGATATTCCCCTAGACACAGGCTAAAACTATACAGCAATGACACAGAAGAATGGTATGGAAGAGGTTGCTGCTTAGCGAATCTGTGTTCTTCACAAACAGGTCTGCCACTTCTTACTGCACCGTCAGTCTGTTGGTGAAAATCTCACCCTTCAGTAAACCCATTACTTCTGATTGTGATGCTAAGGTGTCAGTGTAAAATGCATTCCAGCATGCAAAATCACTTGACAAATACTCTTTTCTTGTGATAACTCATAAATATTTTGCCATATGGAACATACTTTAAGGTACAGCTGATTACTTCAGTCATGTGACATGACCAAGTCATGGAGTTAGCTGGACATTTCAGACTTGAAAGACTTCAGTACTACACAAGGCACCAGCCAAGCGCCACATAATTTAGTGGTGATTTTTAGTAAACCATGTTGGCCTCAAGTATATCTTTCCCATTGGTAGCTCAGGTATAGTGGGAAGATGTCACAAGAGGGGGCGTTGGTCCCCCACAGAGCAGCTGTTCTCTGCTTTTCACAAAGCACTGTCTTGTTAACAGTCCATGGGCGTAGGCTCCAACACCCAGCAGAGGACACGCTATTCCATGTGGCACCCAGCTCAGAGACGCTCTCACTTCAACTTGCCTGTAGCCCTAACCGTGAAGGAGCTCACCAACAGCTCACAGTGCTACAGAGAAGCTCAGCCAGTAGCCTGCTCTTCTCAGGTGTCCAGGGAAATGGGCCTGATGGTTAAGTGCCAGTTGCTTTTTATATGCCAAAGGAGGAGCTCTTGTTAACCCTTTATCTGATTAGCAGACTAGACGTGGCGCACTCATCCACTGCTGCCGTAGCTCTTGGCATCTGGCTTTTTCATTGTCAGAACATCGGGACTACATGTAGTTGATAGTGCATCTCAGTGGATAGCTCAGGGTGACTGGTTTGCTGACTGCTCTCCAAATTTAGCAGACTAAAAGTTCTTAAAATGACATTCACATGTTGGAGTTCCCCTAAGGGTATCGCTGAGGTGGATGGTGGTGTCAACAGGCTGGGTTATATAATGTCATTCTGGGCCACCGTCTGTCAGTAGGAAAGAAGCAGTCATACATGTTTATTTTATTAATCTGTTCTAAAAGCTTAGGTTTGATTGGTATTCTTCAAAATGGGCTCATAATTCTTGTGCACTGTGATGTAACCATCCATCGTAAATTATGTTTATCATATTTTTGTTGTCAAAATTATGTTATCCTTTAAGGTGACTTTGAGGAAGATGTTTTGGAAACTTCTAGGTTTATTACTTGTTGGTAATCAGTTATATATTCAGACAAATGGCCCAAGTACCCACTGCTCAGAATATGCCCGTTTTAGCAAACCGATAATGTTCTTAGACATTTTGCTCTTGAGCGTTGTCAAGAGGGATACAGTACTTACACAGGAAAAGGGGCTCAGAGCTATGGTAGCTGAGGATTGCAACTGTGGAGTAGCCTAAGTAGACACAAATATGGGTGTATGCTGGGCTTTCTAGTTCCCCTTACAAGTCTCTCTTTTTTCTTTAATAAGAACTTTGATTTGAAAACTAAGTCACCCTATGACTAATTATCCAGCTGCAGGCACATTTTCCATAGTCACATGTTTCTAAGTGGGGTTTCTGCTTGCTTTTTCCTACTGAGGTAGAGTGGGATTAGATGGCAGGTTGGGAGGTTGAGAGAGGCTAAACGGCAGTAGGGTTTCAGTGCTTTTGCCCTCTGGGTCTCTAAAATGAGCACTGAGTCCTTTTTTGTTTGCTACTCATTGACTCCTTTGTCAGATAACTAGGAGGGCTATGAAAAGAACGATAAGGATTTTGGCTTATTTCGTAAATGAAATCCTAAATGGTATCTTATGACATTTTGCAATCTCTAATGTGCATGCATATGCAGTCTCAGTGCATATGTATTATTGTATACGTTTTAAATCCGGCTTTGGTTCATAATTAAAATCATTGTCATCATTATTGTTCCTGTGACTTTGCAGAGCTGGGGATCAACCCGGGCTTTTACATGTGCTGTCAGATGTCCTCTCACTGACTGACTGTACATGCTGCCTCCACGTTCTTTTTATTTATATCAAGTTGGGGCCAGTTTACTTTCCGTTTCCTTTTACAAGTCAAGAGTGCATCTAAGCTTTGTATGGGAGGTTAGCTGTGTGCCGTCAGTCTACTGCTGCAGAGGAATAAGCCAGCCCTGTGGGAAGCAGTGACGGGTGACAGGGAGAGCAGAAGATGAGCAAACCATGACTGGAGTGGTGCTGAGTGTGTCCTGCACTGCACCCTACTGTTTGCCTGAGGCTAGATTTAATACCTGCAGGCTTGGGTATTTTTTTTTCTTTAAATTATATTTTTACTTGACCTTCAGCACTTCTTTTCCTGTAAGGAAGCTTGCTACAATTGAATAGCATTGTTTATTTCTAGGAATCAGAGAAAGAAAAAGGATTATGTTATTGTTTATGTTCAAAATGACTCATTTGAATAAATACCGAAGCAAGAAGACTGAAGAGGGGGGTGGAATTCAATTGCCCAGCATGCTGGAGCCCCCTGGGTTTAGCTCCCAGCACCATATAAAACTGAACATAATGGTGTCAGCCTGCAATCCTAGCACTGGAGATGTGGAGGCAGGAGGATCAGAAGTTCAAGGTTGTCTATATATAGAATCTGTAAAGAAAAGAGCTGAGTACGGAGACATAGGAAGCAATAATAGAATCTCATTTATGAAATAACTAGCTTGACCAGTGTAGAAGGGTTAAAAGAACAGGGTAGGAGGGGCTCCGAGAGGCATGCTGCCTCCTGACTCATTGTAGAGCTAGGACAGCAGCCAGATCCAAACCTCCATCTTCTCTCGTGTAAAAATGGGAGTGGTGTTGAAATTTTGGTGGTCTTTGTTTGTTTTTTTTTTTTATCAAATCACTGAGAATACGTGAAGTATTGGGAAACAGATAAGTGCCTTTTCACAATCTGTGGGTTTGATGAGTGTTCTGTGACTACAGGTTGGAAAGACGTGGTATGGGGATGATCAGGAGTTGTAGTGGCCCGTTTCATGAGCAGAGTGACATAGTTACTGGAGTACTGGGTGCGTTTCATGGTGGGCTTACCTTTAAAGTAGGTGCTTGCTGAGTCACTACTTCTCTCTGTGTCTCCTAGGATATCTACGAGGAGCTACCATGGAAAAACCCTGGATGCTGTGGAGCTTCATTGAAAGATGGCTACTAGCCTTGGCGTCCTGGTCTTGGGCTCTCTGCCGCATCTCTCTTTTACCCTTGATAGTGACTTTCCATCTGTATGGAGGCATTGTCTTACTTCTGCTGATATTCGTGTCGATTGCAGGGATCCTGTATAAATTCCAGGATGTCTTGCTCTATTTTCCAGAACAGCCGTCCTCTTCCCGCCTCTATGTTCCCATGCCCACGGGCATTCCACATGAAAACATTTTCATCAGAACCAAAGATGGAGTGCGCCTGAATCTCATCTTGGTAAGATACACTGGAGACAATTCCCCATATTCCCCAACTATAATTTATTTTCATGGGAATGCAGGCAACATAGGCCACAGGTTACCAAACGCGCTGCTTATGCTGGTGAACCTCAAAGTGAACCTCGTGCTTGTTGACTACCGGGGGTATGGGAAAAGCGAGGGAGAGCCCAGTGAAGAAGGACTGTGTCTGGACTCTGAAGCTGTTCTAGACTACGTGATGACTAGACCGGACCTCGATAAGACAAAGGTTTTCCTTTTTGGCCGCTCCCTGGGAGGAGCCGTGGCCATCCACTTGGCCTCTGAGAATTCTCACAGGATTTCAGCCATCATGGTGGAGAACACGTTCCTAAGCATACCACACATGGCCAGCACACTATTTTCCTTCTTCCCAATGCGTTACCTCCCTTTATGGTGCTATAAAAATAAGTTTCTGTCCTACAGAAAGGTCTCGCAGTGCAGGATGCCTTCTCTCTTCATCTCTGGCCTCTCTGACCAGTTGATCCCACCCGTGATGATGAAGCAGCTCTATGAGCTTTCCCCGTCTCGGACTAAGAGATTAGCCATTTTCCCAGACGGGACCCACAATGACACATGGCAGTGCCAAGGCTACTTCACTGCGCTCGAACAGTTCATCAAGGAAGTGATCAAGAGTCATTCTCCTGAAGACATGACAAAAACATCATCCAATGTCACTATTATCTGATGCCACCCTCTTGATGGATGCCTTGGGTTTCGGTTTGTGTACAGTGATGATGTCCTTTCCGGGTGTGTGTTCACGCTGGTCTGCACAGTGACTCTGAGTTTTAAGGGCCTCAGCACTCCATTCTGATGGTCCTATAACTTTATGTATTTTTCAGAACTGGGCTTCTTGAGATTATTTCATATTCCCACCAGAACTTCCAGCCTGGTTACACACCCTTAACTTTAGTTTAAGATGTCCGTTGATGGAGTCCTTCCAAAAGTCTCTTGTTGGTTGAGTGGTAAGATCTGGGTTGTAATCAGATGGAGACACAAACAAGAAACCTGCGGGTGTCATCCCTTAAGTAAACATTGGGACCGTCACAGTAAGCGAGCCCAGTGCTACTGCGTTTTCACCGTAAACATTAAGATGAAGTGCATGGTGGTGTTTCATTCTTGACTTATGCAATGCGATATTTTAAATGTAAATAATACTGGTCACATGCAAATGTATATGGTTCCCTGGGTTATATCTATTTTTATGTAAACTCTATTTTGTTTCTTGTGAGGAATGAGTGTGAGGCCTGTGAGCAGATTCCATGCTCTGCTGCTGAGATCCGGGTTTTTCCTAATAAACAGGACCATTTTCCAATGTAGATGTACTGTGTTTCTGTTAGGTACTTTCTGGATCATGGCTAGTGGGATAGGAAGTTAGCATTTTACTGCAGCTTTTTTTACATATTGACCTTTTAACAATTGTGGTTTGGGTTGCAAACAGAGTTTTAGCCTCTGTCAGTTTGTGAATCTCCAGCTAAAAATTACCAGCCTCAGCAAGGGCTGGAGCTAGCAGATAGTTGAGTTAGGGTATTTTAACCCATGTGCACACAGTCGTGTGCACTGTTCTTCTGATTGAAGGCCCAGTACCTTGGATGTGCCTGACCTGACAGAGCCAAGCATCATTTATTGAACTTTTTGCAAGTAAATTACATAATGAAAGAAAAAAAAAAAAAAAACCAAGTGCGGCCTAGTATTTCAGTTCTGTGTAATGGGGCTGTGCAAAGTGACAGTCTTAGGAAGTTTGTCAGTTTTCACAGGTGGAACTGAAGGATTCCGAAGCTTTTGCCAACCTGTTACACATGTAGCAATTAATGAGTTGTGGGTGGGAAGCTGTGCTTGACAAAGTGAGCCTCGGACACATGAAAAACGTTTGGTAACATTCCAGCCAGGAGGTGTGGAACCTGCCAAGTCCTTTCCCACAGTCCTCACCAGGTAGATGAGCTTGAGCACTGCACATTAGGTCAGTTCCAACACACGATTGCAGACAGCTTAGCTCTCTATACTGACCTTCCACAAGCAGCTAGAGCAGAGTAATAACGACCTTAACTTAAAACTTTCCATGAACATAGGGCTAGAAACACTTGTGCCAAGTAGCATTCCTAGCCTGCATTTTATGCCAATGTTTAGAAAACAATAATGTGTAGCAAGTATAATTTCTAAAGAATAATGCTTTTCTATAAATTATTAATTGTAACCAAGTCCTGTTTTTTAAAGAGTTGGTAACTCATCGTGGAGGGTGTATTTTATATGTGTAAATTCACCACACAATTAAAGGCTGCTTTTCATCTTGTCAGTCTTGGCTACGTAGAACAACTGCCCTGAATACTCATCCACTGAAGGGACAAAAAGTAACAACAGTCAGAGCTCAGTTTCTTCAGAAATGAGCTGCCATGCACAGTTGACCAGTGTTTACCTGTACAGAGCACTATATTCGTGTTCTGCTTCCGTCAGTCACTGGGTCTGGAGGAGTTTCCTGCCTTGACTTGTATGTAGTCTTCTAATGAAATAGGACAGCTGCCCCTTCCTTGCTGTTTTCTCTGCTGCTCTTCCTGTCCAACTTCCGCTGTCTGGGACTTGAGGGGCAGAAGAACACACTACTGCACCACCACCTTTGTGTCCTAGAGGAACCTTCATTCTGCAGCACAGACAGCTATGCTTAGGGCTGTCGTGCGTCTCTTGCTACTGGCTTTGTGTTTGAAGAGGTTTCTTTAGATGGGTAGGGATACCCTCAGGGGCCGTGACACGCCCTTGGCATCATTTCTGAAAGCTTTCTCACTTGGTGTCAGTAAACCTTAATTTCTGCCCAGGTCACTCCTTCACTTTGGCCTCATCATGGGTGGGAATGGTTATGGTCTGTCAGTTTCCAGCTCATCGCTTTCAACAGCAGTGAGAAAGGGGTCAATAATCTTAAGTTATTCAGTGACTAGGAATTTGGAAATACAAGAATTACCCAAAAATGACAAGACCAGCTTACTTAGAAAAAAGACTATAAAGTTCTATATTTTAAAGAATAATAGAAGAAACCAGATTTTTTTTTCCCTTAAAAGATCCTACAGAGAATACTGCATAGTAATGGAAGAAAGTATTTGTTACAGACAGAAGGCTATCAATAGGATAGAAACTAGTGACAGCAGTTGGTGACTCTATTCCTAAATTAAGAGGCAGAAATACTTATTTGATTAGGTGAGCGAGCAGAAAATGCCAGAACACTGTTTTAAATCAAAGCTGGGCTACAACATGACCCTGCGTCTGGTGCAACTGTCTAATGTTTTGCAAATAGGGTTTTGGCCATGGAGACACTGCAAAATGGGTTGGTCGCACAACAGCTTAAATAGCAGGTGGGCTGGAGACACTTGACTCAGAGACAGGTCATGGCTTGGCTGACATCACCAGAGTGATGGCATGTGTGTGTAGCTGAGGATTTGTACCTGCTGACACTTGCCCTTGTGTTAGATTTGGCTTCAGTGGGGATAGGTCTGGTAGAGATGATTGGATAGTATATAAACTCTCTCGGAAGCCGCTCTTAGTAATGGTTTAGGTTAGCACATCTTCCCTCCCTAACGTCGGCAGTTAGTAAAATGACCCCTTGAAAGAAGTCACTTTTCCATCTAGACCAGTGGGGGTCAAACACCCCTTTCACAGGGGTCGCCTAAGACCATGAGAAGACACTGATAATTACATTGTGACTCACAGCAGTAGCAAATTACAATTGACGAAGTAGCAGCAAAAATCTTGTTATTGTTGGGAGTCAGGAACTGTCTAAAGGGCCACAGCCTTAGGAAGGTTGAGGACCACGGCTCTGGGTCATCATTGACATACCTGAACCTATTGATCGTCCCCCAAGCCCTTTTCTTCTCGTGTTTGATAATTATATACTTTAAAAAGACTGAAAGGAAAAACTTAGTCATAAGTAACCCTTTTGTATAGTTCACGTGAACTTAGGTATTTCCACATGACTCAGGTAAGGTTGGGATTGACGCAGCACGGGAGTGAGTCTGTGTTGTAGCTTGCTAACTAGGAAACACAAAGCTCTTTGTGTCTTCACTGCATACGCACCTCCCCTTCCCATCAGCAACACTGCTCACTTGTGTGGCGGAGTCCGCCAGTCATCCTATTGCTGGTCAGCATTTGCCAATGGCACAGATATACCTCCATTTATATTTTGTATTTTTAAGAATGTAGATTAAAGATAGGACTGTATAATCCACACTTTTTGACATAAAGTGCAATATATACATATATAACGGGTGTGTGTGCAACATAATTTATAACAATTTCTGTCAGTACAGCATATACTGAAAATTCATCTTCCACACAGTTAGGTACATTCGGTATGAAGTAAGTTAGTCCAGTTTCATAATCTGAGCCGTAATTTTGTTATTGCCATATTTTCTTTGAAATAATAATAAAATTTTGTAGCTCAAATTTGAATGTTCTCATACCTGTACACTAACCATGACAAGGAAACACGAGGTTTTTTGTTTGGTTGATGTTTTTTTTTTTTCTTTTAACATCTCTTTTAAGGTATACTTTTTTTTTCTGTACTGACATGCAATAAATTGATACATGAACAATTTGGTTAATACTAGATAGTTTGTATTGAGTCTTTTTAAAAATTCTATTCATGTATTATATGACATTAAGATATCTAATAGTTCAATAAAACTATGAGTTTCACTGAACGTAATGAATCATACTCTAATGGTGTGGCTGAAAATGTTTGCCATTTCCTTCTCCCGAGAATATGACAGTAGTCCTATGTGCATTTGACTTAGGCTGATATCAGAAATATTCTACATATGAATTATTGTTGAGTGCCTAAGCCCCAAACATCTCTTCAATCTCATGGATGTTGTTGAACTGTTTGCCCTTGTTTCAGATTTCATAAAGTACTTTTCTAAGAAATTTTCATGGTTTTTTTCCTCCCATTTTTGTTTTAGTTGATGACTCCAGTTGATTAAAATGATCTTATAGTTAGTCTTTATGGGTCTATAACTTGCTTTCCCTAAAAAAGGCACTTTTGTGTTGAGTAGGGTCCACCCAAGATGGATGATTGGAAGCTCATGGCATGCCTTAAAGCGTCCTAGAGAAGCATCATAATCACTATTGCAGACTCTCTTGCTGTGAGAAGATGTGATGGGAAGCAGGTACTCATATGCTGTCCCAGTTCCCCAGCCTGGAATCACTGCTTTCAAAATCTCATGTTTAACTCAGTTCTTCCTTAACTTCCTGCAACATTCTAGAAAGTAATGAAGTTGGATCTGATAGAACTGGTTTACCAAGGGATAGGGATGGAGAAGATGCTGTCTGAATTCTTAGAAACAAGGCCTGGGAGCTAATGGATTTGTGACACCAAGTCACCAAGTCTTCATCATAAACTTGTGCAACAGGTGAGTAAAGTAGCCTGGGGTACGCAGGCAGAAGAGCCCCCCTCCCCTGTCTCTCAGTGTGAATCCAGAGTACATTTGCTGACTTACTCAATGAAAGCTTGAAAAGTGATATCCATCTTGGAGGAGATTAGAATTTCTGGAATTGGAATACAAAGTGGACTCACTACTGACCACTCCCAAGGAGTTGCCAAGAACTGGAATTTAGGTATTTACTTTAAATAGTTTCACGTTTGTCATCATGCAGAGGCCCAGCACACTCTAAACCTCATGCTCTCCTAAGCCGCTTATAATCACCAGGCTGGAGGACTGGCTGGGAAGTTGTAAAGTACATCCTAGTGACTTGGAAACCATCTTGATGCTTCCTGCCCTCCACAATGCTGCCATACCAGTGCTGAAATTATGACAGCTGACAGTGTTGATTGAGACCTTATGATCACTATTTCTCTCTGTTTTGTTATTTTTAAACACGTATCTGTTCTTATTTCATGTGCTTGGGTGTTTTACCTGCAAGTGCCTGTGGGACCTTGTGTGTGTAGTGTCCTCTGAGGCTAGAAGAGGGCATCAGGTCCCTGGGAACTAGAGTTACCGATGTTGGTGAACTGCCATGTGGATGCTGGACATCAAATCTGGGTCCTCCAGATAAGCTACTCGTGTGCTTAATCACTTAGCCATCTCTTCAGCCCCTGTTTGGTCATTCTTACAGTTGGCAGGTCTACCAACCCTTTCCTATGGAGGTTGCCCTCCCCAGCACCATGGCTGTATCCCAGAGTGAAGGCAGCCTTTGCTGGCTCAGATCCTTCACAAACCTGATTCAAATCTTACCCCCTCATTTGTGAATTGGATTCATTCTGCTCCACTGACTCAAACCTGGTATTTGTGTCTGGAAGTGCCTCTGAGATTGACTCAGGCTTGTGTGAGTCCAGAG